GGTGGGTGGGTGGGTGGATGAGCTGCCTGTTTCTATGTAACAAGGATATGGTCTGTTTGCTCAGCAGAGCAAATCAGCACTGTCTTTCCCCTGAATACTTTGTCTTCATACAGCCAGCTGTCTGCTATCAAGCCATCACAAAGAAGCTGAAGGTTTGTGAAGAGGTAAGGCAAATCTTGTTTTTGATGGATTTTCCTTATTGTCATGAGGACTTGCAGTTCCTCCAGAGCTGTGCACTCTATTTTCTTTTTTTTTCTCTTCCCCCACACCCACCTCTCCCCAGGAAACAGGATCCACCTCCATCCAGGCAGCAGACAGCACAGCAGTCAATGGCAGTATCACGCCTACAGACAAAAAGTAAGATCTCCAATGCACTTCAGCCATTTCCCTTCCTTTTTCTCCTTCCCAGCTCATACATGCAGCCATTATCCAGCTTGTCACCAAGAATAAATAAACCTAACATTTCCCTCTAACTACAGATCTCTCCTGTCGTTGTGTGAAACTCTGATTTGGGGGGCAGGGGCGGAGGGAGGCAGCTAAAAATAAACAGGGACTGTACAAGAGAAAAATTCAGAATAATGTCTGGCCTGGCTACATTTGCAATTCAGGGCTTTTCTGCAGTTGCCCGTTTCTTGTAGGACATACTGCAGAACATTGAGTAAACATCAGTATTTCTGAATGCTGTATGAGGCAGGAAGATCAAAGGATATCTTCTCCAGTAGTGCCTGGCAGTTGTCAGGGGCTGTTTAATTGCTCTCCTGAGCACGTAGAAGACAAGAGGAAGAGGGAGGTGCGTTCTCCCAGTGCAAGAGCTTTGCTGTGTAGCACGTGAGCTTTCTGGTTTCTTCTAACATCCCCCTTCTCCTTTCTAGAGTGAGAGAAGCCTAACTTGAGCTTCCTGTTTCACTCTGTAGCTTCCGCTCTGTTCAAATTGAGTTCAGGCCACAGCTTGCTGTTTGCCGTTGGGTCGTTCTCATGGGATGTCAGTTCTCAACTGTACTCCAGGGGAACCAAAATAACAATGAAGCTGTTCAGGTAAAATAGTCTCTCAGGAAAGTGTGGCTCAGAGGTGGGTTGGGAGAGAAAGAATGTCTCCTCTGGTTTAGAGACTTGAAAACTAGGTGGACCTTGTTTGGGCTGTTTCGGGAGCCTATAGTGACTTACTCTAACCTGTCTAAATTAATTTTCTTTAACAAAAGGCAGCATGGCTAGCTGTGAGAGTGCAGGTAGCTTGTGAAAGCTACACAGTGCATCTGTAGCGTGGCTAATTCTGATGAACAAAATCTCCAGCTAGAATTGTGGGTTTGGTATGAAGCTAGCTGTGTGATGTATAAAAGGATCCTTGCAGCAATGACTGCAAAGGAATTCCTGTTGCAGGTAACTGTAGGGATGGAAGTTGTTAGCGCATTGTCTTTTTCTTGAAGTGAGGGAAGCAAAACTCTTGCCGGCTTTGGGGGAGGGGTGGGGAGGGGAAGGCGGCTGGTGTCTGGGACTGTTGTATTGTCGCTGATGTGACCTGTACTGGCCTATTACTTCCTTTCTTTCCTGTCCAAAATTGCAACTGTAGAGCAGGGACTAGGCATTTTGTCTGTGTGTGGTACTCAGCCCAGTAGTCCTTGCTGGGATTTATTAAAATAAAGATTGTAATATATCATTCAGTAGTATAAGCAAATCATTGTACATGTGACAGTTTAAAAATCAGAAGACTAATCAGAGAAGCACCTGCTGTTCTCAGAATCTTCCCTTTATTTTCAATAAGGCAGTGACTGGCAGCAGAAGGCACAAGAGCAGCAATTTTAATAAAACAAACAAAAAAATCAATTCAAACAGAGAAAACCCCCCAAAAACAAACAAAAAAACCCCCAGACTTACCCAAACCTTTAATATTTAGGTAGTCTTCTGAAGCAGATTAAAGACTTTCTTCAGGAAATTGTTAGGGATGCTTAGTAAGCAAAATAAATGCCAGCTTTCTTTTAAAGCTTCGTATCTGCCCATTTGGAATGCGTGGCTTAAAAACCCTTTTATTCTAGCTGTGGCTGTAGTGGAACATGTTTGATTTTGTCCTGGTTTGGGGATTTTTTTTTTTTTTTTTTTTTTTTTTTTTTTTTTTTTTTTTTTTGGGTGTTCCCCAGATTTTTCTTTTTTTTTTTTTTTTTTTTTTCTGGTGATGCTCCAGAGTTTGCTGTTCATCATTTCTAAGACCATGAGAGGCTGACACCAGTTGCTTTCTGTTGCATTAATGTTTATCTCTTCCCCTCAGGATAGGATTTCTGGGACTTGGTCTGATGGGAAGTGGCATTGTCTCCAACTTACTGAAGATGGGTCACACTGTCACTGTCTGGAATCGGACTGCTGAGAAGGTAGGCGTGTGCTTAAGGTACAGATGATACTTAACCTTTTCTAAACATGTAGTTACCACCTCTAGCTCAGGAAGGCTTGGAGTCACCAATTGGTGGTGCCTGGGAGAGGATGCCAAAGAAACACAAGTATGTGCTTGCCACCTTGTTCTGTTATTATTTCCTAGGTGCTTGTTGGTGGCCACTTTTGACTAGATGAAGCTGTAGTCTGTCCTGCTGTGGTCGCTCCTGTGTGAACAGTCCCCACCTCATTGTGGTTTTGTATGAGATGAGAGAGTTGTGAGAAAAATTACAACCTTGTAAATGTGTTGAGGAACGCAATGTAAAGTGCCCCTAGAAAAACTACAGATGTAAATAGCCAAGTCATTGTGTCATGGAACTTGACAAAGTGACCAGATGGTTGGGAACTGATCCTAGGAGCAGTGTGGTAAGATGCACTGCTTGACCGCAGTTTCATCTACACATCCATTGTGCTGTTCATGTTGTGGTAACAGAAGTTCTGTTGAAAATCTGCTGTGTCATAAGACCAGTATGAGAAGGGTTATATAGGTGTATCCAAAGTGAAAATTACATTCTAGCCAGTGTTATTCTTTGTAGTGGAGGAGGAAAAGTAGGTAACGAGGGGAGATGTACTCAGATGATATTGCGGAATATCAAAGGAAAGAAGGGCACTGTGGTTAGTTTGTTATTAAAAGGGATTAAAAGATGTTTTGTTTGTTTTTTGTTTTTTTTTAACTGCAAAACATGGATGGTGTGAGGGGATAGGGTAAGAAGGAGATAAAATTTTGAAGCAGCAGCCCACTAAAACACATCAGACTCAGCTGTGCATATTCTGTTTGCTGTCCAGTCTGTTTCCTCATTTTTTTCCTTCATTTCTCCTCCAAAACCCACATCATTAAATCTCTTATTTCATTTAAGAGTTCCTCTTTTCCTGTGTCTTTCTTTTGAAGTTCTTCACTTGGGCTTCAGAAGGGTTGCAAAAGAGTCTCTTGTGTGTGTGGGGACAAACCAACAGAAGACAACCCAGTTGCTGTGTAATTAATATGCCTGGCTCCTTTTGAGTTGGCTCCAGCAGCAGAGTTTGTTTCAGCAAAATTATAGAGAACCAATTTGCTCTGTACTTAATTTTTGTTATGTTTGAATTTGTGACTTTTGCAGTGTGATTTGTTCATCCAGGAGGGGGCACGGCTGGGAAGAACCCCTGCTGAAGTCGTCTCCACCTGTGACATCACCTTTGCCTGTGTATCAGATCCAAAAGCAGCAAAGGATGTAAGGATTAGCTCTTACTTTTCTTCCACCAGCTAGACTATAAAAAACAGTCACTGAATGCCAGTTTTGATTCCTACTAAACAAACAAACCCCACCTAAAAAAAATTATCCCTGGGGCGTGGGTTTTGGTATCCTTCTAAGAATCTACCCCTGCAGTGTCAGGCTCGCTTGAACTGCTGTCCTGGAGGATTGGAGTTTCTTTGCAGACACCCTATTGCTTTACCCCTCTTCTGTTCCTCACAGCTGGTACTTGGTCCGAGTGGAGTGTTGCAGGGGATTCGCCCAGGGAAGTGTTACGTGGATATGTCCACTGTGGATGCAGATACAGTCACAGAGTTGGCCCAGGTAATCACATTGAACTGAACTTCTAACATCTGTGATTCAGCAGCAGTACTGCAGTTCTTGTTGCCTCAGGTGGTAAGCTGTTGATAATAAAGATGCTTCTGAAGATTTTTAGGCTTCTTTTAGGAGGCACTCAAGTACCAGGCAAATAAGACAAAATATATTGTCAGATCTTGACCAGCAAACAAAGTTGAAGGAGATGCTCTCTGATGATAAAAGCAAAGCCTGAAGATTTGACAGGGCTGTTAGCTGGCACCAGTGCAGCCAGCCAGATTTTGATCCCAGGTATTTATAACCAGATTGATACTCTGTAGCAAACTGAAGGAGAAAGCACTGTCCGGATTAGTAGCTGTGCTTAAATCGGTAAAATACGTAATCTGCTTATTTTAAATGTTCTGCTAGGGGGAAAAAGGGTGCCTTCATGTTTCATTCTGTAGAGGTATTATTCTAGAGAGGATTTCTGTCAAAGTGTTCTGTTTATTTCTGATGTGGTATCTTTGATTTCCTCTTTGGCATCTTGATTGTTATCCTCCGCCCTCAAGGCGGTGTGTGTTATTTAATGAAGAAGGGGAGCTAGTTCTGGTGAAGTTTTAAGCAGACATACTGGTGATGCAGTAGTGTGTGACATGAATTTAGAGAACGAAGAGTCATACATATTAGTAAACCTCTAGCTGAATAGATCTGTCAAAGGCCTTTCCTCTTGGGGAAAATGTCAGAACAGTCAGTCTTCTGAGATGCCTGCGCCACATGTACAACTTCAGCACTGGTTTCTTGGCCATTACGGGGTGCTATGGCAAAAGCATTTAAGTTCAACTGCTTAAAAAATACACAGTATAGGTGGGTGCAGGAAAGTGTTGGAGTGTGAGGGCAACTTTGTCTTGAGTACTCTTTGCAGGATGCAGTGCATCACATGTTAGTGCTTTCCTCTCCTTTTTATATGTCTGAGCTATTTGTTCTGCTTTAAAATTCTGTCCTCAGGGACAGGAATGTCCTAAACAATGTACTTGCTGTGCTACCAACTCGGCATCAATGCGTGCTGTTCATGCACAGCTAACCAGAGATGCTCTTTTCCCAGGTGATAGTGTCCCGGGGAGGTCGCTTTTTGGAAGCACCAGTCTCAGGAAATCAGCAGCTATCTAATGATGGGATGCTTGTGATCCTGGCAGCCGGCGACAGGGGTTTATATGAGGACTGCAGTAGCTGTTTCCAAGCAATGGGAAAGACCTCTTTTTTTCTAGGTAACTGAAACATGAAGGGCCTGATAGCAGTTTCTTAGTCAGCGCAAGGACTGGGAATTCCAGCAAGGAGTCTGAGAGGCATGTGTGTCATTTGTCTCTTGTGTCCTTGGGAAACTAGCCTGCTCTTCTGGAACTTGGCCGATTTCAGTCTAAGTTTTCTTTTTTGAATACTGGCTCATTTTGGAGGATCTGTGATGCTTTTTATTTTAAATCATACTTTGTTATGATGTTTGTTTCTCCCTTTGTTTCTCCCTTCCTTTGAGTGCTTGGAAAATGGGTAAGTTTTCTGAAGTCTCTCAGGGGAAGGGAGAGCTGCCAAGTGCTTGATGTGATGAGTGTAGTAGTGTTAATACTATGTGGGATGGGGGAGCAAGGCTGCTGTATCTCTTTTGGAGGAATGCCCAATGGTATGTCTCGCTCCCAGGTGAAGTAGGCAATGCTGCCAAGATGATGCTGATTGTGAACATGGTCCAAGGCAGCTTCATGGCAACGATAGCAGAAGGACTGACTTTGGCTCAAGTGACTGGCCAGTCCCAACAGACCCTTCTGGATATCCTCAATCAGGGACAACTTGCCAGCATCTTCCTGGACCAGAAGTGCCAAAGTAAAGTTCTCTTACATTGTTTTATTATAGGACATTTGCCACAAATTAGCATTTCAGATAATGGCAGAAGAGAGAAAATAACTGTCCCATCTTCATCAGCCTGGGATTCTGGGTATTTTAAGCATTCTGGAAATGAAGATCTGAGTTTCATTCCTTCATAGACAGGGCTTCTGAAAATACACCCCAAGCTCTGCATTGTCTAAAACCTGCTTAGCACTTGAGTTCACAGTGAGAATTTCATTGGGGCAGGGTAATAAGTGAAATGGAGGGCAAGCTGCTTAGAAATCTGAGCTTGCTTTGTCAGTAGGCAATAGTGATATTATCTGCTGTGACCAGATGAAGATAGCAGAGAAACAGAAGAGCTAAAAGCAGTGTTCCTGGTGAGCAGCATGGGAAAGGGAAGTTTGGTGTTGAGTTGCATGCCCTTGCAGTGTGGGCTTGATTTACTTTTGTCATGCTTATTTTTTGCACACATTCCTCTTGACAGATATCTTGCAAGGAAACTTTAAACCTGATTTCTACCTGAAATACATACAGAAGGATCTTAGATTAGCTATTGCATTGGGCGATTCTGTTAACCACCCAACTCCCATGGCAGCTGCTGCCAATGAGGTAAGAGTTGTTCAGTGTTCAGGTATGTGTTACCCAGTATTTTTTCAATAGAGCCATTTGTCAACAAGGGACAAAAATCTAAGAATTACATCTGAGACAAGGGAACAGCAACTGACATATATTTTTGACTAGCATGGAATTGGATTTGTTTTGATTGTAGAAGCCCTTAGAATGTCACGTCAGTAAATACAGATGGCCTCAACAAGACCTGGTGTGTTCTGATCTGCCCTGCTCTAATTACTTGACAGACTCTGGTTCTCTGGTTTGCAATGGTCAGCAAAGTAATTTTTCTGCTAGGGAAAGGCGTCACACAAGAGCAGGCACTGATCCTTTTCTAATTTCTCTTCTCTAGGTCTATAAACGAGCAAAAGCATTGGACCAATCGGACAACGACATGTCTGCAGTGTACAGGGCCTACATTCACTAGGCTGCACCATTCTTACTGTTAATACTATGATTATTGATTAATATTATTATGATACTGGGTTTTAACTCTGGACCAGTCCATCTCTGTCTCTCCATTTCCTTTTATACACAGACTTTGAGATCTGCCATGGAGGCAGCTGCTGCGGTGAGCCTTCCCCTGGTGGCAGAAGGGGGGGAGGAGGGGGCTCGGATTGTTGCAGTCTAATTAGAAAAATCCATGCCATGCACTGACAGTCATGGAACGAAACAGTGGCGGCTTGTTCAGAAGCTCTGAGGCAACTCTGCCAGAAATCTGCTGCTTGGCTGCTTTTATTTTCTTCTTTGTATGCTTGTCCAAGATGCTGTTTCTAATGATCTCTTTTCTCCTTCGCTGTGAAATTATGTGTGTGTTGGATTCTGCATCAAGGGGACATGTGACATACATCCCATCTACCTGTGAATATCACTTAAGTCCTTGGTCCCAAGTAAGGTGAGGAGCATTCCTGTTAATCAGCCACTGTTAGAGAACAGCGCACCTCCCATGGAGGAGAATGGCAGTTCCAGAAGGTAATGGGGTTGCATGCAGCACTCTCTTGATTCTGTTTCTTCTTGAACTTCCACCTCCCCAGCAACTGGATGGAGGAATTCCTTGTACTGTTAAGAAGAACAGATTGCATCCATGTCTTCCCCTGTACAGATAAGTATAACTTAGGGAACACAAACCTTACTGAAGAGGAGAGAATGCTAGTGTAAATAAGCCTCCTAAAAGGCTAATCACACCTGCCCATCCCACAAACAGCACACGTTTGCCTAGAAAACTGCAGGAGAAACATACAGCCTAAAACTGGGCCGGAGAGATTTTATTTGGGGAAGGAACAAACCTTAGGGTTGCTCCTGGCCTTACCTTATGTTGCTTACTTCTTGCTTTCTTTTTTTTTCACCCTTGTAGTCAGTAATTACAAAGGTGTCTTGGATTGTAGCAGTGTCACAAGCAGAGTAATGAGTTTGAAAGGGGCGAGAGGAATGATCGTAGAGCCAAGAGATTGAGGATCCTGAGCTCCTTTCCATGCTCTCTCTCTCTGGCCTTTGCACAGTCGTTCTGTCTCTTAGCCTGTTTGCCCATCTTTAAAGGTGGGTGATGATTACCTACCTCACAGGGATATTTTGTGTACTCATTAGTGATCTTTATACATGTCAGATTTTCCATAAATGTTCTTAGTGTTACTACTCTGGGTACAACACTAGCACAGCATATTTTCCCTGTACCTGTGACTCTGCTTGTAGCCAGATACCAACTTCAAGAAAGACTAGTAAATAAAATGGGAGGCTAAGACCACTGCTGAGCGTTAGTCTAGAAATGTAAGACTTGAACTGCAGATGCCAAGGCTAGAGAACAGAGATGCTCTCAGTGTTGGTAGCAGAGCAACCCAGAGTCCAAAGTCTAAAAATGCACAGAGTGTGGGTTTGGTGTTTTTTTTTGTTTGGGGTTTTTTTTAATTGTTCTCAGTATTAGCCTTTTAGGAGGGTTCTTGCATTTTAGATTCGAGAGTTATTAAAATGCCAGTAAGAAACTTTATTGGCCAAAATAACTTCTCAGTGGCACAATCTCCTCCCTTGGGTTGGGATTCCGAAAGGAAAGAAAGCAAATTCAAATTAGACCACGTTCCTTTAAATCCATGAGGTCTGCTCCTCCCACCATCTTTTTCTAGGAACTTAATGGCTGTGCAAGGAAATTTCCCTGTGGGTTAGTATTTCTTACTGGTCCTGTTTTGTGCGGCACTTGCATATGGTTCAGGGGCACCTTATTAAGAAACAAAGAAAGTATCAGATTCTCATTACGAGCCACGACATCTAATGCCTAATGCTGTAAATGTTACTTTGAATATTTCACCTCCTGTGATCACTATTATTTGTGTGCTAATATTGTGTTCCGCATTATGTCCTGTGGTGAACATCTAGTAGTAGATGTTAGACGTCACTTTCCCTGTTTGTCAGTGGTTATGTGAACAATACTAGTTAAACATACGTGTTTCTTTGGCAGTTCAACTGTCCTCCTGCATGTAGATATTCATATTAAAGGCACATATAAGTACCCAGGATAACCAGCCATTAGCCTGCTTTTGGCACACTTGTGCTTCCCCCATCTGGAAGAACACAGCATCAGAAGTCCTTGGTTAAACATGCTGCAATTAAGAAATCATTTACATTAATTGTGTATTGAGGGCATCTGGGGAAAAGTTATGCTTTTGGGGGCAGGAGATAAGACCACAGATTTTGTAGTGTAAGAAACTTTTGGGGAGGAAGAGGGAGGTACTGTCTCAGGTCGAGAGTGGAACTGTGCTGAGCCAGTGCTGCAGTGTCCCCAACCTGTCCCTGTGGAGGTCTCTTGAGCCAGAGTGAAGGTGAATAGGTCTCAGCAAAGGTCATGGAGAATCTCCCTCTTCCTTACTTTGTGATGCCTCTGGATAGAGTGCGAATACAAAAAGAGCTCTCAGCTTCCATAGTGTGCATTTCTTAGTGAATTCAAAGAACCTTATTTGTGAGAGGTTTTGTTTACCAGAAATACTGTAGTTCTCAAAATTGAGATATTTATGTGGGAATGGCAGTTGCAGACTAGTTGAACACTGTAATTTATCCTGGGAAAGTCTGACCACCGCTTTCTGGCGAGGTAGGTGGCTGTAGAGTGGCTGGAGGGTGCGGTGCTGCCCAGCCAGGTGTACAGAGATGTGCCAGGGAGGAGCAGAAGAGACTGAGAGCTCTGAAGTGGATGTGAAGTGAGGAGGAGGGATGGAAATGGTGTAAACTGGCCTGTTTCAGGTGCCGTTGGTGATTGACTCATGTCAGTCTCACTTGGATCCTTGTATTTATATCTCTAGCCTCTGAACATAGATCTTAATCTGTTCCTAGGCCTGAGATTTGGGGGAGGGAAGGAGAGGGGAAGCTGTGGATTGAGAGATGCTCTAATAAAACTGGCTAGTCAATGTTGTCTTAATATTGTTGACAATTCTGTAAAGTTCCTTTTTATGAGGATTTCTGTTTTAGCAATTTGCTTTTTTTGACTCCCTCCTTTTTAAAGAGAAAATGTGACACTTGTGAAAAGCTTGTAATAAAGCAGTTTCTTTTTTCCTCAATGATAGATTATATAGTTAATTAAGGTTGTGAATTTTTATTTTTTTGTTTTTAATTAACGTTTGTCATTCAGAATAGGATGTGTGAAAATGTTTAAATGGCAAAACAATTTTTTTTTTTTTTTTTTTTTTTTTTGTGCAATTAACAAAGCTACTGGCAAAAAGAATAAAACCTTTCTTGGTAACACAGTGTTCTTGTGGCACTTTCTAAGCTTATCAAACCTGTATTCTGGCATTAAATAGTACATGCTTGTCCCAAAACATTAAAAAATAGGAGTTGCTGAAAAACATCAGTATGCCTGAGAGAATTTTGGTCACTGCAGAAGCCTGATCTTGTCAGTGAGGCACTACACCAGATGAATATGGATAAATTCTCTGCATCTGAACTGAGAGGAGGATGAAGGCTTTTAAAGCAAAGAATGCTGAGAGCTGGAGGTCCAGGGAACTTTCTGGTGTTGATGACTTCTTGTCTTGTCTAAGTATTGGGAGCCTGGTGGCCCAGTTGCACGGTCTGGAGTATCCTGCCTTCTATCGTTTGGGGTTTTTCAAGCACCGACTTGGCAGCGAGTGGGGTTTTCCAAGACAAGATCCCTTAACTGAAGCGTTTGCAAGTTCCGGATTATTGCTTTTTGATGATCCAGTCAGCATTTGCTGTCAGATGGTAGGTGTTCATGTACTGCAGCATAATAGGCTAGTCATGATTAATGGTGTGCTTTAGTAAAAATTAATTACAAGTGTAAAAGTAAGGAAAATAAGTCTTAGTTTTAGTGCTGTGCTTTACCTGTTCGGTGAATGGAAGGTATGTACCTTTCCAGAACCCACCCTGCTGCTGGGGTGAGGAAGATTCCTCATACTTCCTGGAGTGCGCCCTCAGCAAATTTGCCAATGACACCAAGCTGTGTGGTTCAGTTGACACGCTGGAGGGACGGGATGCCATCCAGAGGGACCTTGACAGGTTTGAGAGGCGGGCCTGTGCTAAACTCGGGGCCCAACAAGGTTGTTGAACAAGGTTCAACAAGGCCAAGCACAAGGTTCTGCACCTGGGTTAGGGCAACCCAAGCACAAATACAGGCTGGGC